AGGGCAGCAAGGCACGTATTGTATTGTTGCCATCGAGGATAACAAGATGGGGTTTTCTTCATATTGCATGAGTCTATCCCTCTACATCATGTCATCTTTCTTAAGGCGTTACTCTATTTTTAACTTAATACTCTAGATGCATGCTGGATAGCGGTCGATGAGTGGAGTAATAGTAGTAGATGCAAGCAGGAGTCGGTCTACTTGTCTCGGACGTGATGCCTATATACATGATCATACCTAGATATTCTCATAACTATGCTCAATTCTGTCAATTGGTCAACAGTAATTTGTTCACCCACCGTAGAATACTTATGCTCTCGAGAGAAGCCACTAGTGAAACCTATGGCCCCCGGGTCTATCTTTATCATATCAATTTCCTACTACTTAGTTATTTACTTTGCGTTTATTTTTACTTTACATCTTTATCATAAAAACACCAAAAATATTATCTTATCATATCTATCAGATCTCACTCTCGTAAGTGGCCCTATAGGGATTGACAACCCCTATTTGCGTTGGTTGCGAGGATTTATTTGTTTTGTGCAGGTACGAGGGACTCGCGCGTAGCCTCATACTGGATTGATACCTTGGTTCTCAAAAACTGAGGGAAATACTTACGCTACTTTGCTACATCATTCCTTCCTCTTCGGGGAAAACCAACGCAGTGCTAAAAGAGGTCGCAAGGGTGTGGACTACACCGAAACCTTTAGTCCGCTCGTCAAACCGGCCACTATTCATGTTGTGCTTAGCATTGCCACTTCCAGTTCTTGGCCCACCCATCAACTTGATGTCAAAAACGCTTTCCATCATGGCCATCTTGGTGCAACTGTCTATTATGCTCAACCGGCGGGTTTTCTTGATGCAACTCATCCTAACCATGTGTGCCCTCTCAAAAAATCACTCTATGGCTTGAAGCAAGCTCCTAGGATACTTGGTTCCTTCACTTCAAGTCCTTTCTTCTCTCTCTAGGGTTTATTGCTTCTAAATGTGACTCCTCCTTGTTCATTTATCGCCGTGGCTCTCATGTGGCGTACCTTCTCCTCTATGTCGATGACATTATCCTCACCGCCAACACCACAGCTACCCTCCACTCCATTATATCTTCCCTCAAGTCCGAATTCTCCATGTCGGGCTTAGGAGATCTTCACCATTTTCTCGGGATAAATGTCACTCGTTCGCCCGACGGCCTCTTCTTGTCTCAACAGCAATACATCCTTGAGATCCTAGATCGTGCGCACATGCTCAATTGCAACACCATTGCCACCCCAATCGACACCAAAGCCAAGTTGTCTGCCGCCGATGGTCCTCCTGTCTCGGACCCCACTCTCTACCGCAACATTGCTGGGGCCCTCCAGTATGTCACTTTGACTCGGCCAGATGTGTCCTACGCGGTTCAGCAAGTATGTTTGTTCATGCATGATCCTCGCTCCTCTCACATGAACCTCATCAAACGTATTTTACGTTATCTCAAGGGCACATCACATTTCGAGCTGCGGTTCTTCAAATCCGCCTCACATGACTTGGTTGCCTACTCCGATGTTGATTGGGCCGGCTGCCCCGATACACGCAAGTCCACTTCCGGCTTCTGTGTCTTCCTTGGCTCAAACCTTGTCTCCTGGTCATCCAAAAAACAGCCCACCGTTTCACAATCTAGTGCCGAGGTCGAATATCGTGCGGTTGCTAATTGTGTTGCCGAGTCTTGCTGGTTGCGCCAGCTCCTTCATGAGTTGCATTGGCCCCCCTCTCGTGCCACCACGGTCTATTGCGACAACGTTAGTGCCACATACTTGTCGACCAATCCAGTTCAGCACCAGCGGACCAAGCATGTGGAAATTGATTTGCACTTTGTACGCGATCGCGTGGCCCTTGGCGAGGCCCGTGTCCTTCATGTTCCGTCCAGCTCACAGTTTGCAGATGTATTCACCAAAGGACTCCCCACGGCGGTGTTCC